ATTATCTTACACTGGAAAAAAATAAAATCTAGATAAGTAATTTTTTCTTAAAATAAGTGCATTTGTTCTTGAATTTAGACGGTAATAGAGACATTTTGTCAATGGAACAAGACAATTTACATTTAAAATAAGAAAACACAATAGTTTTGTCTTACTTCAATTGCATTTTATCTAATTATCTTATTTTAAAAGTAGAAATACTCACATTGGCAAACTATCTCATTTACCTACTCAAATTAAGGGAAAATACCCTTAATTTAAGAAATGTTTACTTTTTTCTAGATCGTTTTTCCAGTGTTGTTAGAACTATAATAAAAAGCTGTAGTGGAAGGTTCCAATACATTTTGAAAGCACCTTAACTACACCAAAGTGACACTGATGCTGTTATTTAAACCTGGACGAAAACAGTAAACGGATTGTTTTTCAGACAGAATTATTTAGAGTGCAAGTTTGAACCAGTTTAGATCCTTCAAAAAGTTTAAAACATTTAAAGGCTTCAAACAAAATCCACTAAAAACAGATGGAGAAGTGCACTGACAGGTGTATGGATGTATAAATTGATGGGTGGACACATATGGATGATTGGTTGATAAAAAAGGCACTTGTTTTTTTGCACTTTTTATATAAAAATGGTTTTGTAAGACTATTAGTGGTATTTTTGTTTCTCAAAATCAGCTCTATAAGTTGTGTTAATTGATTTTAATTTTCAAATTCCTAATATTTGACAAACAGAAATTTTTTTATACTCTTATGGATAAATTTTTTTGTATTTTCAATGCAGTTTTAGGTAAATTTAGGTGGGTTTCCATTGACGGACTCACCAGTGAGGATCCGGTATAGAACCCGTCCATTTTCTCCCTGGTCTGCATCGGTGGCTTGAACCTGAACAGGTAAACAAGAAGAAAAACAGTAGTCAGGATGAAAAAGTAAAGCAGACTTGTAGGTCTGTGCATATCAGCAGTTCCAAACAACCGCAGATTCAGCACACCTTAATGAATTCCAGCTCTTTATTCTGGGTTTCCTCTACTTTAAAAGAAGTTACAATGTTCATAAACAATCCAGAAACAACCAAGGCTCCATGCGTCTTAAACTGTTATAAACCACAATGGCACCAGTTTTATCTGGTTTGACATGATAGCTGAAAGAAAGCGGCTGGATAAGCTGATCAGGAAGGCCAGCTCTGTGATTGGATGCCCTCTGGACTCAGTGCAGGAGGTGAGAAACAAAAGAATCCTAAATAAATGAACATCTCTGTTGGATAATGTCTCCCCCCATGCATGAAGCTGGTGCTGAACTGGACAGCTCCTTCAGTGACAGACTGCTGCACCTTAAATGCACCAGGGAGCGTTATCACAGATCCTTCCTCCCAGCAGCTGGAAGACTCTAGAACCACCACAGTTCTCATCAACCTCAATAAGATGTTACATTCAGGTTGATTTTCCACAGTTTCTATCTCCTATTATCTTGTTGCTGCTGTAAACAGCAGAATTTCCCCATAATAAAAGGATTTTCTATTCTATTCTATTGTTCCAACAAAAAGGCCATCTTGAACTTTCTTTCTGTTCTGTTGAGAGAAAGATTAAAGTGACTGGCAGGATTTTTTTTGGTGAGTCATGAAAAGACAACTTTAAAGCATAGTATTGGTATTATCATAATGTGGGACTGCTTCACTATCAGTCTGATTTGTTGAATTATTTTTGGGATCAATGTCAAGTTGAAACATGTGTTTTCAATCATGGACACAGTTGGATATAATTACATAAAGCTTAGATTAAACTTCAGCAATCTCTCCACCAACCTTAACCCTATTGAAAACGGGTAGACTAGATCTAATCCCTGTGGTGGGAAAATTTTGATTTCTTTTATTTGATATATTCATTTATCCTATTTACTCACTATAAAAGTTTTCACTCAGTCTGTCTCACCTGCAAGGCCACACAATGCGTATGAGTGTTTGTATTAAGTAGGGTTGTCACGATACTAAACTTTTCAACTCGATACCGATACTAAGTAAAATATTCGATACTC